GGGCCCATCCCAGCCAGCGCTCCTGGACTCCAGGGTGGGCGGGAACCGTCCGAGGTCAGGTTCAACCCAGCACAATCAGAGGTCAAGTTCCCAGGAAGGAAGTTGGGGGGGGCGGGGGGCAGGGGGAGGCGAGCACTGTACCGGGCGCATTCTTCCGGGCTGAGTAACACATTCTGCTGCTCAGCATTGTTAGGGGCTGGGAAGGTTTCTTTCTCGTTCTCTCCTGGAGTGAGGTAATGCTGGCCTGACTACCCTCTCTTCCCTCCCCCGCCAGCGGAGACTCTGTGTCTTTTCCCAGGTCACACTGGAACTGAGTCACAGCTGTCCCCACACGCCCCCAGGCCCCACGCCCTCATCTTTCCCAGGCTGACGTGTTTCCGTTTTTTTTTTTTTTTGTCCTGCAAAGACCCCGATCGATGCACAGAGTCAGCTTGGAGCCGCGCGGGACAGGGGGGTGCCAAGGTACCCCCAGATGCGGAAGCCACCAGCTTTCCTCTCTTTGTTCTGCCCCCCCCCCACCCCGTGTGCCACAGGCTGAGCTCACAGCTTGGCGGGAGGGGGAGGGGTCACTTGGCATCAAAGCTGGAAGCTGGTCTTACAGCTCAAGATAAATTTTTGGGGGTTGGAGCAATAGCACAGTGGATAGGGCATTTGCCTTGCACACCGACGACCTGGGTTCAGCCCCCTGTATCCCATATGGTCCCCTGAGCACCGCCAGGAGTGACTCCTGAGTGCAGAGCCAGGACTAACACCCGAGCATCACCGGTGTGACCCAAAGAGCCACAAAAAACCCAAAAAAGATAAATTCCCATAAAACGGAAGTCTCAGAGAGGCCGCAATGAGGAGGTGCACAGGGCCTCATGGGATGGGGGTGGGGCCGGCCCTCCCCACCCCCCACAAGACCCCGATGGCCTCTCAGGCTCCTAATGGAGCTTCTGAATGGCCATGATCCCAGAGACTCAGAACAAAATCTCGGAACCCAGCAGCTTTGATTGAAATCCCTCCAGATTTAATTATTAAAATTCCAGAATTCTAAAATCGTATGCTGTTCATAATCAGCAGTAGGAAACAAGGTGTCTAATGTTGCCTTTTCGGCAGATCGAAGTGTTGGGCGGAAAATCTCAAATAACAATGGTGGGACTGGTGTTGAAGTATAAAATGTAATCAAAGTAGAGAGAGTAATGTGGACATCATCTGCCACAGGTAGGGGGAGGGTGTGGGATGGGGGTATACTGGGGTTTTTGGTGGTGGAGAATGGGCACTGGTAAAGGGACAGGTGTTTCATCATGGTATGACTAAGTCTTAAACCTGAAAGCTTTGTCACTGCTTTCATGGTGATTCAATAAATAAATTTAAAAAAAAAGAGGGAACGTGGAAGCTGGATAGATAGCACAGCGGGTAGGGCATTTGTCTTGCATGCAGTTGACCCGGGTTCGATTCCCAGCATCCCATATAGTCCCCCCAAACACTGCCAGGAGTGATTCCTGAGTGCAGAGCCAGGAGTAACCCCTGAGCAACATCAGGTCAGGTGTGACTTAAAACAACAACTAAAAAAGAGGAAGAATGGCGGGTCCAGAGAATAGTCCCGGAGGGTCAGGCATTCTTCTTGTATGATCCTGAGCGCCATTCATAGCCCCTGAGGGTCCCCACAAGAGACCCCTGAGCACTGCCAGACCTGGCCCAGGCAGCCCCACTGGGAACTCTCCACGATCCAGTGATTCTGCTCCTGACACTGTACCTGGGAACATGAACACCTTGAGAGATGCTCATCATGTTATCCGCTCCTGGCGGAAACACGCCTCCCTCCGTGTCCACAGACAGAGGGTGGGGGAGCCGGGGCAGGGGCCAGAGCGAGCACCCAGTGGGGAGGCATTCGCTTGCCTGCAGCTGGCCTGGACTCAGCCCCCAGCACCCAACATGACCTCCCGAGCCCTGCCAGGAGTGATCCCTGAGCACAGAGCCCAGGAGGAAGCCCTGAGCACCTCTGGGTGTGGCCCTACAACCCCCCCCCCCAAAGAAAACCCACAAAGAAAGAATTTGTGGTGCATAGGCCCAGTGGAACCCTACTCTGCCACTCTCCGGAAACCGATGGAGCGATACTCGGGCGTAAGGCACTGGCCTTGCACACAGCCAGCCACACATGGGCCCTTCCCAGTGCTGGGGATGGAGCCCAGGTCAGCAAACACAGGCGAGTACGGTACCTTGAAGTGTCCTGGCCCCAATCCCAATCCTTCCTGCATGACTATGGCCAGCAAGGGCTCTGCCCAGTGAACAACCCTGCCCAGTCTGGAATCCTTCCACTTTCTGGATCCCTGACCATTTCCGTCATCCTCTTCCTCCTCACTCCTTCCTTTCTTCTTCTCTCCTTCCCTCCCTCTCTTATCCCTTCCTCACTCCCTTCCTTCCTTCCTTCCTTCCTTCCTTCCTTCCTTCCTTCCTTCCTTCCCTTCCTCCCTTCCTTCCATCCTTTTTGTCCCTCCCTCCCTCCCTCCCTCCCTCCCTCCCTCCCTCCCTTCCTCCCTCACTTTCATCAGTCCTCATGATGGAGGGCCTTCTTTGCGCCCATACCACAGATGTGAAGACTGAGTTTCAGACCAGTTGTCCCTCCTTTAGATGCCAGCATGCAGCCTCATCCCTGGATCACCTCTGGCTAGTGGGCAGGGTCTCCAGCATGCTTTCTGACCTCGCTCACACAGAACGTACAGTGACATTGGGCCAACAGGGAGGGCCAACCGGAAGGTTATCCTCTCTGGTGGCCCCAGGCCCACAGACCCCTTTGCACTGGAGGTCTGAGCTTAGTTTCCCAAGGCGTAAGTCCGGGTTAGAGTCCAGGCGAGGGCGAGAAAGCCCAGGGCGCTCTCTTTGCATGGGGGTCAAGTTGCTGGGGGCGGGGGTGGAGGGAGTGGTGGGAACGGGGTCGCCCCTCCTATAGGCTGAACCCCACCTCACCCCCCACGAGGAGGCGGCGCTGGGGGCAGTGATGAGGGTGAGTTAGCGCCCTTATGGACAGACCCCAGGGAGCCACCCCCGCCCCTCCTGTGGGGACACGGCAAGAAGGAGCCGCAAGTTCAGACTCCAAAGGCACGAGAACCGGCTTCATTGCTGCAACCGTCAACCCCTGCTGTCAGCGTGCGCAGCTCCCTAAAGGCATGCACGCAGACCCAAACAGAGGAGATGGGGACGAGGCTGAGGACGACCCCTCCCCGCAGTGGGCGGGGACATCTGGCTAAGCGCCAGCCCCACGCCCCTTTTGTGGGTGTACTGTGGGCCTCCCTGGCTGGCCCGAGGGCTGGTGTGCCCCCTGACACCGGTCAGTGGATATTTCGGGTACAGCTTCCCTGTAGGCACTTGGGCAGTCAGCGTGGGCAGTGCCCACCGAGCTGGGCACACAGGCGCCCCTGCACCCCCAGGCCTGGCGTCTTTCCACAGAACGCCCCGATCTGGAATAGCGCCGGACATCTGCTTCTTGGCGGCGCATGAAAACGAGATTCTGCAGCCCCCCCGCCCCCCCCCCCCCCCCCGTGAGTGCATTCCCCAGTCTCCTGGAGAGAGCCACCCCCGCCCCCCGCAAAGCTCCCCCCTCCCCCAGGAGTGCCCTCCCGGGGTGTGCCAGCTCGGCAAATGCTCGCCCCCATCTGCTGGGTCCCTCCTGGGCATGGTGCCGGGGCCTTGGCCTCACACACCCCCAGTTCCTCCTGAGAACAATGCAGCATTCTCCCGGGGTTCAGCAAGCACAACGCACTGTATTTGGCGTTTGCACCGGCCCAAGAAGGATCGTGGCCTTGGCAGATGGGTCCTGGGCAGCTTCCCAGGGTGGGGTGGGGTCCTGTGTGTGTGTGTGTGTGTGGAGGGGGGGGGGCTGTGCATGAGGATGGGGCCTGGGAGGGAGAGGCAGAAGGGAAAAGTCCTGGTGGAATTCACCCAAAGCTAGAATTGCTGGGCTGAATGTGGGCACAGCTCTCACTCCAGCTGGGAAAGTGAAATCCTTCAGTTGCTCTGGTCTCTGCAGTCCCAGGAGCTGGAAGGATGATGTTTTGCTGTTGTTGTTTGCCTCACTGTGCTCAGGGCTTACTGGTGGCTCTGTACTCAGGAATCACTCCTGGCAGGTTTCAAAGGAAGACCCGGGTGGATGGTGTCTGGGTTACCTGCAGCCTGAGGAGGGGCTGGGCCGCTGCAAATTAGCACCGGAGGCCACTGGCACAGAGCTCAGGGTGTGGGAAGGATTCTCTGTGCTTAGATGAGAGCAAAATCCACCCGCAGAGGTGAGGGACAGGGGCCCTGCTGCGCGTTTACCCACAATGTAGCTTCTTAAGAGGCCCCAGGAAAAGCCCAGTGGGAGATGCTTGTAACCATGCCGCTGCCCGGCTTGGATGGTGCACATGGTTCTCCCATCAGAAGTGATCCCTGAGTGCAGAGCCAGGAGTAACCCCTGTGCATCGCCGGGCATCGCCAGGTGTGTCCCAAAAGAGGGGAAAAAAAAATAGTCTGTCCTCAGAGCCAAAAGATGGATGGTACAGCACTTACCTTGCATGTGGCTGACCCGGGTTTGATTCCTGCCCCGCAACCCTATAGGGTCCCCTGACACTATCAGGAAGGATCCCTGAGTGAAGAGCCAAGAGTAAGCCCTGAGAACCGCCAGATGTGGCCCTCAAACCAAACCCCCCAAATCCTCCTGCACCATGTGGTGCAGGAGCTCAAACTTCTTGTCCTGAAGAGAGCATCATTTTTCCCTGGAGGGAGGAAGGAGCTTCTTGTAAAATGGAGGTGCTAGTGACAGTCCATGCAGTGGGAAGAATTTATAACACTTGATTTATAACACTTGATTATAAAGACTTGATACTCTGAAACATAACCAGGTCCACGTCCCTGCTCTGAGTACTGGACCAACCCCAGCCGAGTATGGTTACCTCCAGACAGGAATTTAAATAAACACAGGAAACTCCACTGTCCTCCCTGCCTCTGCATTTATTTGGAGAGGCGCCCTAAACAGTTTCCAAGTGCCTCTCAGCCTTCACGATTCTCCTTCATAGAAGGTACAAGTGAAGCAAGGTTGGGCGGGGGGTCGTGGTGGAGCCCCCCCCCCCCAATCTTCCGAGGGTGGGAGGTTTTCAGTAAAACTGCCCCATGTTCCTCGGAAGCGACGTGTCCAAGCCGCTGTTCATCCAGATCTCCTGGATGATCTGTTCCCGGCGCTCAATCCTTTCCGCCAGCTCCGCAGCCTCGATGGATGTGTAGCCGGGGTAGGAAGTCCTGCTGAAGCCCGACAGCTGCCCCTGAGTATCCGAGGCCGAGGAGTGCTCCTCCCCCTCCTCCTCGTCGTCGTCCTCACTGTCCTCCTCCACCCGGTCACTTCCCGCGACCAGGCGCTCCCGGGCCAGCTGCAGCTCTCGGAAGTCCCGGGCGCAGGACACACGCATGACCAAGGCGCACAGCGTGAGCACCAGGCCGATGCACATGCTGGACACGAATAGCAGGGCCGCTCTCTCTGGATGGGCTGTGCGGGGAGGAGGGAGAGTCAGGCGCTGCTCCGCGGGCACTGGGTCCCACCCACACAGACGCTGGGGAAGTCAGGCGGCACGTGGGCCGCTGAGACCTCCACACATGACTGCTCCTAGAACCCCATGAATGAAAACGTAAAAGATGCTATAAAGATGCCAAAAGATGGTATTTTAAAAAAAAAAAGGTGCTAAAAGATTCTATAAAAGGGAGCTGGATTTCCTCAAAAATAGACATACAAATAGCCAAAAGGCTAATCATCAGGGAGATGCAATTAAAAACAATAATGAGATATCATCTCACACCACAGAGACTGGCGCACATCAAAAAGAACAACCAGGGGCTGGAGCCATAGTACAGCAGGTAGAGCATTTGCCTTGCATGTGGTCCATCTGAGTTTGATCACCAGCATCCCATATGGTCCCCTGAGCACTGCCAGGAGTAATTCCTAAGTGCAAAGCCAGGAGTGACCCCTGTGCATTGCCGGGTGTGACCCAAAACAGCCAAAAAAAAAAAAAACCAGCCAATGCTGGCATGGATGTGGGGAGAAAGGGTCTCTCTTTCATTGTTGGTGGGAATACCAACTGGTCCAGCCTTTTTGGAAAACAATATGGGCGTTCCTTAAAATAATAGAAATTGAGCTTTCATATGACCCCACAATACCACTTCTGGGAACATCCCGAGGGTGTAAAAAAGCACAATAGAAATGACATCTGCACTTGTTTGTTCATTGCAGCACTGCTCACAATAGCCAGAATCTGGAAACAACCCAAGTGCCTGAGAACAGACGATTGGTTGAAGAAACTTTGATACATCTACACAATGGAATACTATGCAGCCGTTAGGAATGATGAAGTCATGAAATTTGCTTATAAGTTGATGGTCACAAAGAGTATCATGCTAAGTGAAATGAGTCATAAAGAGAGGGACAGACATAGAATGACTGCACTCATCTGAGGAATATAAAATAACATAATATGATACTGACGCCCAAGGATAGTAGAAACAGGGCCAGGAATATTGCTCCATGATTGGCAGCATGCCTCATGAACTGGGGGAGAAGGCAGCTGGAATAAAAAAGGGATAACTAAGTCAATGATGATTGGAGGGATAGTCTGGGATGGGAGATGTGTACTGAAAGTGGACAAAGGACCAAACATGATGGTCTCTCAGTATCTGCACTGCAAAACATAATGCCCAAAAGTGAGAGAGAGAGAGAGAGAGAGAGAGAGAGAAAGAGAGAGAGAGAGAGAGAGAGAGTATGGGGGAAATTGTCTGCCATAGAGGCAGGGAGAGGGGTGGAATGGGTGGGGATACTGGGGACACTGGGTGGTGGAAAATGTGCACTGGTGGAGGGATGGATGTTTGATCATTGTGTGACTGAAACTCAAACATGAAAGCTTTGTAACTGTATCTCACGGTGATTCAATAAAAAAGGTGGGGAGGACTGGAGAGATAGTACAGTGGGGAGGGCATCTGCCTTGCACGGGGCTGACCTGGGTCCATGAGCACTGCCAGGAGTAATTCCTGAGTAGAGAGCCAGGAATAACCCGAGCATCACTGGGTGTGACCCCAAAAGCCAAAACTAGAATCTATAAAAATATAGTAAATATATTTATATTACTGGGGCTGGAGCGATAGCACAGCGGGTAGGGCATCTGCCTTGCACGCAGCCAACATGGCCGACCCGAGTTCGATTCCTCCGCCCCTCTCAGAGAGCCCGGCAAGCTACCGAGAGTATCTCGCCCATACGGCAAAGCCTGGCAAGCTCCCCGTGACGTACTCGATATGCCAAACACAGTAACAACAAGTCTCACGATGGAGAAGTTACTGGGCCCACTCGATTTATATTACTAAAAACATAGGGCTGGAGCGATAGCACAGAGATAGGGCGTTTGCGCAGCCAGCGTGGCCGAGCGGGGTTTGATTCCTCCACCCCTCTCGGAGAGCCCAGCAAGCTACTGAGAGTATCTCGCCTGCACGGCAAAGCCTGGCAAGCTACCAGTGACGTATTCAATATGCCAAAACACAGTAACAACAAGTCTCACAATGGAGATATTACTGGGCCCACTCGAGCAAATCAATGAACAATGGGAGGACAGTGTTTGTGTTTGTTTTTGTGTTTACTAAAAACATATAGTAGTTCTGTAACCTCATGAATGAAAAAATAAGAGCTGCTCGGAGCATCTACTGAGATTATACACAGAGAGGAACTCAGCAATGTTCAGACTCCACATCTGCCACTCACAACTGTGTGACTTGGGGCAAGTTGCCCGGCCTCTCTGAGCCTCTAGTTTCCCTCATCTGGAAGATAGGGCCAATGGGAATGGTGCCCTCCAGGTACAGAATTTTGTTTGTGCTTTGGATCACACTCGGTGGTGCTCATAGCTGATTCCTGACTCTGTGCTCAGGATAAACTTCTGCTGGGGCCAGGGGACCATATGTGGTATTGGGGATTGAACCCAGGGTGGTTATGTGCAATGCAAGTGCCCCACCCACTGTACTACCTCTCTGGCCCCAAGGTACAGAACTGTTAGAAACTAATGAGTCAACTCCACTGTGGTTCCAGAATGTTCACTCATGCATAGTAAATGCTCAATAAACATGGATACTGTTATTAGTAAATGAAAGATGAATTGAGATATAAATATTATAGAGATATGAATGTGATTACTAATAAAGTGGATACTAGCAAAGCTTAACTTTTTATATTAAAGAACAGGTCAGTAAAAGTTGCAGGTTAATATAAGTTCCTACATCCAAATGATTATGTAATATAACAGGAACAAAAATGTTAATTTCTACTGTACACCATGGTCTAAATACTTTTTTTTTTTGCACTTTTTGGGTCACACCCGGCGATGCACAGGGGTTACTCCTGGCTCATGCACTCAGGAATTACCCCTGGCGGTGCCCAGCGATATGGGATGCTGGGAATTGAACCTGGGTCGACCGCGTGCAAGGCAAACGCTGTACCCTCTGTATTATTTCTCTGACGGAAATTCTTTCTTTATTCTTCATCATGACATAACCTGGTGCAAAAACAATTATTATGCTCCCTGTGTTTTCGTGTATATCACATAAAATGTCAACACTCCCAATCCGGTAACTGAGAATCCAGCTCTCCCCCTCATAAACCAGAAGGTAGATGTCTCTGGTGAAGGGCCAGACATTAAATGTTTTTGGCTACATGGGCCATATGGTGAGTCATGCAACAGCATAGCTTTTCCACTGGGGTCCAAAAGCAGCCACAGTCATACAGGTGAGACTGTGTTGGAGAAATAGTCTATTTTAAAAATTAGCTCACGGTCAGAGTTTGCAGAGTCTGCTACAGAAGATTTGTTCTACTAAAACTTTATTTACAAACTTGGCTCCTGGCCCAGAGTTTGCGGACCCTCATCCAGAAGCTATGCATGTTCTAATAAAACTTTATTTACAAACCTGGCTCCTGGGCCAGCGTTGGCAGACTCTGCTACAGAAGCTCACTGTGATTTCAGTGCTGAACAAGCTGGTGGCGGGGCCAGCAGTCGGGACTAGTAAGCCCAGATGCTGAGCTGTGAGCTGAGTGTTTTGTTCAGGCCCATGACCTCTCAACCCAAAGGCTCTTGCCTCCGAGCGATGTCACAGGAATAAGACAGACTCGGGTCTCCACCACCTCTATCCCGCCAGATCTGCGTTTTTTTTTTTTTATTAGCGAAACGCCGTGAGGTACAGTTGTAGACTTACAAATTTTTGCAGATCTGTGTTTTGACGCCCCAGGGCTATCGAGTTTCACTGGAGTCAGGGACCCAGCCTTTAGGATCTGTCCGACAGAGCTTCTAGAAGCAGGGCAGGTTATTTCTAGAAATCTCAGCATCGATTACTTGCAGTTTGAGGCATGGCTGGGGTCCTGGGCTACACACACATGGGTCTGGGGGCCATGGCCCCACTCACGTGTCTCCTCAGACACCGACTCCATCTGTACTGGCCGCCAGTGGTGGTCAGCGCTGCTGAGCGGGTCCTTCCCAGCGCCCAGATACGAGGAAGACAGGGCGCCATGTCGAGATGCCCTTGTGAAGATAGGGTGAGGCTTTTTGTGCCGGGGTGTCTGAATGGGGGCTGGCGGGGTGCTGACCTCTGGGCTTAGGTCATCAAGCCATAATGCACAGAACAGGCCTGAAGCCTGCAGTGCTGGGGTGGACCTTTTTCCTGCCCCCCTGCCTCTGTAGGGAATTCTGCACGGAAGGGCGCAGCCCTATGGCCTGGACTCTTCCCGAGATCCTCTCTAGCCCCTCGTGTTCTCAGGGTCAGGCAGGGGTGGCAGCTCCCGGCTCCCTGTAGAGTAGAAGCAGGGCACCCTTGTTCCTGTCCCGGCTCCCAGTTCTGCGGGAGAGTCGGGAGAGTTGGGAGAGTCGTGGGGAGGAGACCAGCCTGACCCTCTGTCGCTTACTCCCTTCCCCCAGGATGGTCCAGGACAGCCAGTTTTAGCAGAAAGGACCCCACCCCCAGTGCTCCTCCCACCTCTCCCCTGAGACTTCCCAGGGGGCCGGGACTGGGAGAATCTCTCCCCAACAGAAGCTCTTCCTTTCTTTAGCCTCTTTCTTCCTCCCCCTTCTGTCTTTCCCTCCTTCTCCCTCCTCCTTTCTTTTTTCCTCCTTCCCTCCTTCCCTCCTTCCCTCCTTCCCTCCTTCCCTCCCTCCCTCCCTCCCTCCCTCCCTCCCTCCCTCCCTCCCTCCCTTCCTTCCTTCCTTCCTTCCTTCCTTCCTTCCTTCCTTCCTTCCTCCTTCCCCTCCCTTCAGGACTCAGCTATTCTTGCTCTGTGCTCAGGAGTGACCCCTGGTGGTGCCAGCCTCAAGGAACAGCTCGCTTCATCCCTCACAAACACAGTGACCTGAAGGATCCAAACCCATCAGTGCCCAGATCATATCATATTACACACATACACACACACACACACACACACACCCATACCCATCAACGCCCAGATCATATTGCACACACACACATACACCATACGCATCAATGCCCAGATTGTGTTACACACACACACACACACACACATACACACACACCATACCCATCAATGCCCAGATCAATATTATACACGCACACTCCACACCACATACAATTCACACAGAACTCAGGTCCAGAAACACACATGGCACATGTGTGCCATTATCACACACACCTCACACCACACACATTCAACATACACACACACACACACACACGCACGCACGACACCCTTTCACACATACTTCTCCATTTCTCTTATTTCAAACTTTTCTTTCTTTCTTTTATTTTGGTTTTGGGGCCAGACCCAACAGTGCTCCAGGCTTACTCCTGGTTCTGTGCTCAGGAACCATTCCTGGTGGGGTTTGGGGAATCTTATGGGGAGCCTGATGGGGTGCTAGGAATTGAACCCAGGTTGGCCACACATCCTGGGCCTGCCTGTGTGCAGAGGGGTCAGGAGGGGCCCTGGGGGCCTCTCAGGTGTGTTGGACTGAGTTTAGCCCCCCCCAAATTTGTGTGTGGAAACCTTCCTGCCCAGCCTACCTGTCTCTGGAAACAGGGACTTCCCGGAGGTGACTCAGGTGAAACAGGGGTGGGGCCTTGTTCCACTAGGATTAGTGCCCATGGAAGAATGCCAAGGGCAAAGTGACAGTGCCATGGGGAGGGTGTTTGCCTTACACACAGACAACCCAGGTCCGATCCCCAGAACCCCGATGGTCCCCCAAGCCCACCAGGAATGAGCTCTGAGTACAGAGTCAGGAGCAGGCCTGAGTATCACCAGGTGTGGCCCCCAAACAAAACAAAACAAAACAAAAAAGCCAGATCTTGGGGAGGAGCGACAGCCTTGCACGTGGCCGACCTTGATTCGATCCCTGCTACCCCATATGGTCCCTGAAGCCAGAAGCCTGCCGGGAGTGAGCCATTAGTGAGCCTTGTCAGCAGGTCTGAGTGCCTTTGTCCTCGGGAGTTGAGCCGTTCCCTCAGGGCCTGCCTTTTCCCCAGAGCTAAGCCGTTCCTTCAGGCCTGCCTTCTGCTCTGAGGAGAGCCCTGGGTTAAGCTGTTCCTTCAGGCCTGCCTTCTCTGTGAAGGGCGCTAGGCTGAGCCTTTCCCTCAGACCTGCCTTCTCCTCTGGAGAGACTTGGGCTTAACCTTTGCTACAGGTCTTCCTTCTCTGAGGAGGGCCCTAGCACCAGCAGGCCTGACTAGGCAGGGGCATGACCATGAGACTCACGCACTTGTCACCAAAGGCCTCCTCAGAGGGCTCATCTCCCTGTACTGGCATTGCTGCGACTTGCAGACATTCCAGAACTCTCCTCAGGGGGCCCGGAGGGCAGTGAGGAGAGATGGCAGGAACCCTCCTTCAGTGACATAGCCCTGACCCTGTTCCTACAGGCAGGAGGCAGAGATGTTCCTGCAGGGAGGGTTATCCATGGAAACCTTGGCAACCTGGGAACTACGCGGTGACTCAGGGACCCTACCTGCGCTGGGCACGACCTGTCTGAATTACCAAGTGATTGTTTTGGCTCCGTTTTCTTTCCGCCAACACAAGAATTCATTGATCCGTGACTCTCTGTGTTTGTTCCCTGCCTGTGTGTGTCCCTGAGTGAGACTCTCTGGCGGGTGGGTGGCCCCAGAGAGAACTATCCCTGAGGCGAGGCCTCTGTGTTTCTGGAGCTGAGAAGGCCTGAGCTGCCATCTCCAATGTCAAGGCGTCCTTAAAAGCTTGTGTGGTGATTAAACAGTCAGCTTGTTAACAAGACGCAGGCACTCATCCGCAGTTGGGCATCTGGGTTGTTTCCACATCTTGGCTATTGTACTGCGGTGAACATATCTATTCACAGATCCTTTCAGCGTAATGTTTGGGGGGACTGGAGTGATAGAACAGTGGGTAGGACACTTGCCTTGCATGCCGCTGGTGGGTTCGCTCCTTGGCATCCTACATGAGTCCTGCCAGGAGTAATTCCTGAGCACAGAGCCAGGAGTAAGTCCTGAGCAGAACCGGACTCCCAAACAAAACAAACAAACAAATGGGCCTCAAACAAAACAACAACAACAAAAATAAACAAAAAGTAATGTTCTGTGGTTTAGGGAGTACTATGCAGCCCTAAAAAAGAATAAAAATCATTCAATTTGCCAGAGCAGAGTTTGAATTTGAGGGTATCATAATGAGTGAAGTCAGTCAGAAGGAAAGGGGCAGACACAGAATAATCTCTCATATGGGACCTAAATCTATACATTAAGGTATCAACAGAGGGCCAAAGGCAACACAGAACTGATTATACCATTGAGTTAGTGGGGGAAGGGATGTTGGGGTCCTTGGGAGGTGGGCACACTGGTGAAGGGTGTGGTGTTGGGATTTATGTGCCTGGGAAACCATCACTAACAGTATTGTAAATCCCAGAACTTCAACCAAATTTTATAAAAGGAAAGAACCCCCCCCACACACACACACAGACACACATACAAGACACAGCTTGTCCCTCAGAACACTTCAGAGCTTCCTCCCCAACCTACCTCTAACGTAAGCAAAGGCCGCCAGCGAGCTGCTCACCAGGGCACCGTCCTTCCTCAGCACCCTCGTTCCACTTGGGTCTGAGTTTATTCCTGTTTCACAACAAATACAAATAAAATTAAGACCAGAGAACCCCCAGCCCTTTTCACTACACCACATGCTCCTCACCCAGGATGGCTATCGGCAATAGAAGGTCATGGAGACTAGACCAGGGGGCCTTTCTCTGCACCCAGAAGAACACTTGGGAAGTGATCCTTGAGGTGCTAACATGTCAAAAGGGATCTAGACGTTGAAAATGGGCAGATTCCAGCTTTCGGAGGCCTATTGCATGCCACTGCAAAGGGGGTGCATTTGGTGGTACCCGGGGGCTTCTCTCAACTCTTCTTGGGGTTCCATGTGGTGCAAGGGGTGGGAGCAGGCTGGCTGCTGCGTTAGCTCTCTGGCCTGGACTGCGTTTCTTCCCCACACCCAAAAGGTGAGAAGCTCCTTGGAGCTTCCCCACAGCTCACCTGGAGTCAGGGAGTGGTGCTGTGGAGAAGCCTCTGGCTCCGCAGGGGAGTGTGACCTGGGGCCCACGGCAGCAAAACATGGGACAGATGTACTTTATGCAACTGTGTGGCAGCTGGGGGTGACCCCTGGGATGGTCCAACAGGGCTGGAACGCAGAGTGTGGGGGACAGTCTGTGGGGTGCTCTAGAGCCTAGAGCATTGACCCTGAGCTTTGAAGGGAAGGGGGATTTCTCCTTCTCTTTCTAAAAATTTTTGTTTATTTCTTGCTTTTTGGGTCACACCCAGTGATGCATAGGGGTTATTCCTGGCTCTGTGCTCAGGAATTACTCCTGGCGATGCTCAGGGGACCATATGGGATGCTGGGAATCGAACCTGGGTCCACCGTATGCAAGGCAAATACCCTACCTACTGTACTATCACTCTAGCTCCGTATTTTTAAAAATTAAAAAATATTTAAAAAATTTTTTTTGGCTTTTTGGGGTCATACCTGGTGAGGCACAGGGGTTACTCCTGGTTCTGCACTCAGGAATTAGTCCTGGTGGTGCTTGGAAGACCGTATGGGATGCTGGGAATCGAACCCGCGTCGGCCCCATGCAAGGCAAATGCCCTACCTACTGTGCTATCACTCCAGCTCCACCCCCCCCCCCCGAAAATTTAAATTTTTTTATTTGGGGGCCACACCCAGTGGAGCTCAGGGCTTACTCCTGGCTCTACATTCAAGGATTACCCCTGTCAAGGCTCTGGGACCATCTGGGGTACCGGGGATTGAACCCGGGTCAGCCACATGCAAGGAAGTGCCCTACCTGCTGTACTATCTCTCTGGTGCCAAGGAAGAGTGACTTTTTTTTCTTTTTAAAAACATTTGGGGGGGGTGGAGCTGGAGCAATAGCACAGTGGGTAGGGTGTTTGCCTTGCACGTGGCTGACCTGGGTTCGATTCCCAGCATCCCATATGGTCCCCCAAGCACCGCCAGGAGTAATTCCTGAGTGCAGAGCTGGGAGTGGCTTCTGTGCATCGCCAGGTGTGACCCAAAAAGCAAAAAAATAAATAAATTAAAATTTTTTTAGAACTTTTCTCCCCCTATTTCTTAATGTCATCCCAGGCTCCAGGCCATACTATGCACGTCACATGTGATATAAAACAAAAAGCTCCCCCCAGAGTCTGCTTCCCACACAGATGCCGCGAGCCCTTGCGGTTTGCACCTGAAACTTCAAGGACCTGAATTTCATTCCAGATCTGGTAGAGAACCAGAATGTGTACAAACACCCCTTTTGGCATCATCCTAGTGGGGACATCATCCAGGGCCCTGCTGAGAACCCACCCCCTCCAGCAAGCTCATCCGCAAGTCCAGGAACCCCAACTCTCTCTTCCATGATGTGATCTGTTGTTTGTGTTTGTTTGTTTGGGGACTCGGAAGGAAATGGACAGAGGATTTATTCTCTTTCCATTTCAAAGCAAAACGAGGGCCACTCTTCCCAGCTATAGTAGTTTGCTGGCCATAGTACTCCACATTGCGCCAACACCCAACATTCTGGCCCCCGACACCCCGCTTGTTCTAATCCTGGGCACCTGGCAAAGGCAGGTGCTGTTTCACCTCATGAGCAGAGAAATGCTGGTAGAAAGCCACAGAAATTACCATATTCACCATCTTTCTGCTTCAAAGAAGGTTTTAGATTAGCAATGGCTGGGTCGATCGCTGTGAGGATGCTCTTGGGCACTGAAAACCAAAGAGAGATATGTTCAGTGCCTTGTCTACTTCAGGCAGGTTTTGTTCGTTCGTTTGTTTCTTTCGGAGCAGGGGCACACTCAGCGATGCTCAGGGGTTACTCCTGGCTCTGCACTCAGGAATCACTCCTGGCGGTGCTCAGAGGGACCATATGTGATGCTGGGGATCCCACCTGTGTCAGCCACAAATGCCCTACCTGCTGTACTATCGCTCCAGCCCCCAAACATTCAATATATATATATATTGAGTAGCCCTGGGAATTGACCGCAAAGGGGCCCCAGGGAACTTCTGGGGGTCAGGGCCATGACTCAGCATGGGGGTGTAGCGGGGGGTGGGGAGGGCTAGGCTGGTGAGCCTGTGCCCTGAGTGTAAGGGGCCCTGGGGGCTGCATGCATCCTTGGCACCACCAACCAATTCCTCAGAGAGTGTGTATGTCTCTGGGCATCAACTAGAAATCACTGAATTGTCTTCATGTGATCTCTTCAGGACTTGGGGGAATTTTCAGGTTTGTCAATTCCGCCTGAAAAAAACACGAGTTACCTTCAATGGGAACCACTCTACTTTTTACCCAGAGTGCCTCACCTCCTCGCTTCCATTGTAAATCTAAGAGAATTCTGGAACCCACTGCTGGAATGATCCTCTAAGCCTGCCTGCCTGCCTTCCTGCCTTCCTTCCTTCCTTCCTTCCTTCCTTCCTTCCTTCCTTCCTTCCTTCCTTCCTTCTTTCCTTCCTCTCTCTTCTTTCTTTCTTTCTTTCTTTCTTTCTTTCTTTCTTTCTTTCTTTCTTTCTTTCTTTCTTTCTTTTCCTTCCCTCCTTCCTTCCTCCCTCCCTCCCTCCCTCCCTCCTCCTTCCCTTCCTTCCCTTCCTTCCTTTCTCCCTTCCTCCCTTCCTTCTTTCCTTTCTTCTTTCTTTTGGTTATTTTTTTTTTTTGGATCACACCCAGTGATGTTCAGGGGTTACTCCTGAGCATCTGCACTCAGAAATCATTCCTGGCGGTGCTCAGGGGACCAGATGGGATGCCGGGAACCGAACCCGTGTCAACCATGTGCAAGACAAATGCCCTCCCTGCAGTACTATCGCTCCAGACCCTCTTTTTTTCTTGTCTGGAGTCCGGGCATCCCTGGACTTTGCACGGGAGCTATTCCCAGCTCTGTCCTCAGGGGCACTGGGGAGTCCTTGTGGAGCCAAGGAATAAAACTGTGCCTTGTGCATGCAGACTGTGTCCATCCTAGTCAACTCTTTCTCCACGCCCCCTTCTCTCTCTCTTTCAGAGTGGGGAATGGATCACAGCCAGCGGTGTTCAAGGCCTATTCGGGCTCCATGCTCAGTGATCACTCCTGATGGGGTATGGGGAACCGGATATGATGCCAGGATCCAAACCCGGGTCAGCCGCATGCAAGGCAAACGCCTTAGACCTGTTTTATCTCTTCAACCCTCTTTTTCGAAAGCTTGATGTGAAGGGCTGGAGCGATAGCACAGTGGTAGGGCATTTGCCTTGCGCACAGCCAGCCCAGCTGAGCTGGGTTCGATTCCTCCACCCCTCTCAGAGAGCCCGGCAAGGTACTGAGAGTATATATTCAATATGCCAAACACAGTAACAACAAGTCTGAAAATGGAGACGTTACTGGGTCCGCCTGAGCAAATTGATGAACAACAAGAGGACAGTGTTTGTTTTTGTGTTTGATGTGAAGTGCATGCCTTGGGGTGCTCGGGGGTCCATAGGTGCTGGGAATCAAACCCAGGACCTCAGCTGTACCAGGCCTGTGTGCCACCACTTGATAAGCATCTCCAGCCCTCACTCTCTAAGTTTTGTTTTTTCATTGTTTGTTTGTTTGTTTCTGAGGAGAGTGCCATACCTGGCAGTGCTCCGGGCTTACTCCTGGCTCTTTGCTCAGGGATCACTCCTGGCAGACTCAGGAGACCATAGGGGATGCGGGGGATCGAACACAGGTTGGCCACGGCCCTCCCTGCTGTGCTATCTCTCTGACCCCAAACCTCTAAGTTTTCTAAGAGCGGGTGAGGGGAGATGTGGGAAGCAGGGCAGCAGCTAAGACCCTTTTAGAAAGTGGCTGTAGATTCTGAGACTAAAGTCACCAGGCTTTTAGGGATCTCAAGGAAGTCAGCAGACAGAGGCCAAGGCAAGAGCTAAAACAGAGGAAGAATTCTGAAGGCCAAGTTCAAGGCAGCCAGCGGGAGAAAGGGGAGGAAACCAAATATTTTTGCTGCAGCAGAAAATTGTTTGGGTTTTGTTCTTTAGCTCAGCTGGTATCTGGGAGAAGTGGCAACAGGAAGTAGAAGTGAAGCCAAAACAAACAGTGCAAGTTCAACTGTACTGCAGTGTGTGTGTGTGTGTGTGTGTGTGTGTGTGTGTGTGTGTGTTTTCAAAGCTAGTTCGGCATCTTCAGCACAAGCAAATTCACTTCCTTTCTCAGAGCGCTCAGCCAGCAGTCTCCGGGGTGGCCCCAGGATCAACATCCAGGGAACATTCCTGCCCAGGGGTGGTTTGTGTGCAGGAGAACGCAGCGTCCAGAGTCACTTGGTGGCGCGGCTCAGTGACAATGGAGGAGGCATGCCAGGGTGTCCCGAGGGGCCGAGCAGGGGGACGGGAGCTGCTCAGAGCCCCGTGTGATATTCCGGAGAACGGCAGGCAAACATTCCCTGCTGTGCCCCATGAGAAGGATGATTCCTTGGCAGGATTAAGACCAGCCAAGAGCAGAACCTTAGCTCATCTCTGTCTCTTGGCTCGTTCTCAAATCCACCCTGACGAGGGCTCAGTTCTCTTCTGCCCACAAGTCTAAGCGCCAGAGCGCGGGATGGATGGAAGGACAGTGTTTGCCAAACCATTGGGCACTCAAAGGTTCCTTTGCCAGGGACTGGCTTGCATTGGCTCATGCAGGCTGGGTGGGTGGGGGTCAGGACAAGGGGGGTGGCGGTGGCGGGGTGCAAATGCCTCTGGCATCGACAGACTCTTTTAGGACCTTTGAAAGTGCCACAGGGACCCACACCTGTCTGTTTCTTGCCCCTGTCGGGTTCAGTGCAATTCAGGGATTGGGGCTTGATGTCTTAACCCTCCCCCCCCCCACACACACTTGGGACCTTGTCAGAAAACAGCCGTAAGGCAGTCTTCATGGAACCACGCATAGATGTAGAACCTGTGGTCCTACTGTGTGGTCCTCTACCTGTGTGGGCTACCTGTGTGGTCCTCAGAGCCAGACTGGGCTAAGGGGTTCTGTCCCCGTCTTTGCAGAAGGGGCATTGAGTCTCTGGGACACACCAGTCACTCCAAAGAAAGAGCGAGGAATAAAACCCAGAGCATATCTGGGTGTAGCTCCAGAATTTAAAAAAAAAAAACACTTTTTTTCTTGATACTTAAAAAATTAAAAAAGCAAATACAAGGATAAAACAAGTAGCCAAAGAGAGGGGATAAGAGGGGGCCACTTCAGGGCTGGCCAGGGTTCACGCAACCCTAAGAGAGCAGGGGAAAGAATGTTGAGTCATCGGGGACCAGAAAGTAGGGCCCCAGGGTTCACAGGCAAACCTCACCGGCTGCACTCACAGGTCATAAATTCTAGAACCTCCCACGGACTCAGATGGAAATCTCTCTTCCCAGTGACATCACTTGGACCTCATCTGCTTGCTCTTTTTTTTTATTTGTCGGGGTGGGGGGGGGGTACACTGGCGGTGCTCAGGGCTTTATTCCTGGCTCTGCACTCAGGGACTATTCTTGGCAGGGTCTGAGGCACCCTACGGGGAGACAGCAATGGCCAGTGCCCTGCACGCTGGACCATGTCTCCAGCCTCGGCTTTGCCCTTTAAAAACGTCCCCCAACCCTTTCCACAGGCTGCTCATCGGATGACTCAGTTTTTCAAATAAAAATTGGCCCAAGGAAATGCTCTATCTTTGTTGATTTACACATCATGGACCAGAATAATGGATGGAGAAAAGACTCCGAGGGTTTGGTATGTTATCAGGCGGTAGGGTAGACTGCTGGGCTGCCCGCAAACTCCTTTTACTCAAGGTACATCTTTTCCCAGTGGGGAAAATCTTCCAGTCTCCCTATGAAGGGCCTAATCTTGTTTTTTCTTTCTTGGGGGGGGGGGGCGTGTGCACAGCTGGAAGTGCTCAGGGGTGATTCCTGACTTTGAGCTTGGGGGAGAAACTGGAGTCTGTAGGATGCAAGGCAAGTGCCTGAAAAGCTGTACCCGTGACAAGGGGATTGCAAAACAAGACATCATCTCACGCCAGCGAGAATGGCCCCTATCACAGAGTCTGGAAACAGCCAATGTTGATGGGGTTATGGTGAGAAAGGAAGTTTCATCCATTGTTGGTGGGAACATCACCTGGTTCAGCCTCTGTGGAAAGCTATATGGAGATCTATCCAAAAAATAGGAAAAGAATTCCCCTATGACCCAGGGATACTGCTTGTTAGCATTTAGTCCCCCAACACAAAAACGTGAATTCCAAAGGGCTAGCCACACCAAAGTTCATTGCAGCACTTAGTGCAATAGCCAAAATGTAGAAACAACCCAAATGCCCAAGTACAGATAAATGGATCAAGAAACTGGAGTACATATGCACAGGGGAATACTATGTAGCTCTGAGAAAGAACAAAGGCTGTGACTGGACCAATAGTACAGTAGGTAGAGCATTCATTTCACATCCAACCCAGACTCAGTCCCCAGTATCACATATGGTTTCCCCAAGCACCATCTGTAGTAGTCTTTGAGTGCAGAGCCAGGAGTCACCCTTGAGCATTGCTGGCTGTGGCCCCAAAACAAAACAAAACAAAAAGAACAAAATCGTGCAGTGTGTGGCCACATGGGTGGATGTCCTGCTGAGTGATGCCAGTCAGAAGGAAAGGGACAGAGACAAAATGATCTCTCCTGTGTGGGACTTAAAGACACATAGCAAGGTAGCAACAAAGCAGCAAAGGCAGCACAACAGAAGAACTGACCCACAGAACTGAGTTGGTGGGGGGGGAGTTGAAAGGAGAAATTGAGGTCCTTGGGGTAGGGAGGTGGGTGCACTGGTGATGGGCAAGTGTTGGAAGGATGTGCATGGCAAATGATTATTGCAAACCTTAGAATATCAATCAATACTATTATTTTTTAAAGTTAAGGGGGAAAAAGTGTGCTCTCTCTGTGTCCTGAAAGGGCCCGTTCTTACCACACGCATAGTTGACCGTGAGGTACTTCTTCACTCCTGGCAGGCAGGGGCTCCCGAAATGGTGGTTGTTGACGATGATTTTGCATCGCTGCTTCCCATAGCACCTCCGGGATAAGACTTGCAGAGCCGAGTACGACAAGCAGTCTGCAAGACATGGAACAGCAAACTGCATTACAGACGTACGCCCACCCCAGAGTGGATTTGATTTTATTCCCTCAAGAAATGTGCTCGCTGGATTTCAAACCCCAAGGAAATGTTTCCCTCACTTTGGTTTTGTTTTGTTTGGGGGCCACACCCAGTGGTGCTCAGGGATCATTCCTGGCAGTGCTCAGGAGACCGTAGGGGGTGCCAGGGATAGAACCTGGGTTGGCCACATTTAAGGCAACTGCACCAACCACTTTATTATGTCTCCACCTTCCTCCCACTATTTTCTCATGGGTCTCATGAAAGCACCTCAAGAGAAGCTCAGAGCGGAGCCCAATGAACAGAGCTGGCCTCATGGCCTGGAACTAGAAGCATGCCCACTTGGTTTCTAGCACCCAATGCCTGGCACCAGCCTGAATTTCTCCGCACCTTTTTTTTTTTTGCTTTTTGGGTCACACCCAGCAATGCACAGGGGTCACTCCTGGCTCTGCACTCAGGAATTATCCCTGGCGGTGCTCAGGGGACCATATGGGATGCTGGGAATCGAACCTGGATCAGTCAAGTGCAAGGCAAATGCCTTACCTGCTATGCTATCACTCCAGCCCCATCTCCGCACCTTTTTTGAACAAGAGGTCCACATATTCATTTTGCCCAGGGCCCACAGGTGATGTCAGTGGTCCTGCATACTGACAGGACCAAATGGGCCAAACGAGTAGATTACTGACCCAAGGTTCCTATTTCCTTTATGGACTTTCTGCTGTGAGGGGGCATTTTGTTCATTGATTGATTCCTAAATGAACACATGAGTCATGAGGCCGGAAACTAGTCTCCCCAGCTCAGGATCTAATTTTTTTTAAATATTTTTTTTTATTTTAATGAATCACCGTGAGATACAGTTACAGACTTACAAACTTTCATGAGTGCGTTCCAGTCAAACAATGTTCAAGTACCCATCCCTCCACCAGTGCCCATTCTCCACCAACAATGTTCCCAGTGTCCCTCCCGCCACCCCCATCCCTTCCCACTCCTGCCTCTGTGGCAGGCACATTCCCTCTTACTCTCTCTGTCCTTTTGGGTGTTATGATTTTCAATAGAGGTAGCAAGCGGCCATCATGTTTGGTCCATAGTCTACTTTCAGCATGCCCCTACTATCCCAAGTGATCCCTCCAACCATAATTTACTTAGTGCTCTTTTCTCCATCCCAGCTACCTTTCCCCCAGTGCATGAGATTGGCTTTCAGGATCCAATTTCCATTGCTCATTATCTAATTCCCTATGACCCCTGTCCAAGTCTAATGAATGAAGAAATGCATGAATGAATGAAAGGAGAAACGAAACAATCAACAAGCAAATGTGATGTTGGTGCCAGTAAGCGTGGCGGCACACTGCTGGTTATTGGCAAAAACGCAGTGGAAGATGCCAGTCTTGCTTTCATAGCCTGGAAAATGCTGATGGAGAGACAAAATCTGCCTGGTGGCCCGTGTAGAATGGCGGAAGGCAGGGGGCAAGGGTCAGGAGTTGGAGGCCCACGGAACACGCAAGAAATCATGACAGGGTTCCCGCAGGAGAGGGTGTGGTTGGGGGGGCAGCCGAGATTGGGGGCAGAGAGAGAGAGACAGAGACAGAGAGACAGAGACAGAGAAATAGAGTAATGACCGAGGCAAGTAGGTGGGAAGCATACCATGGGATCATAGGGGTTGACACCGAGCTGGAATTGTGGGAATGGTCAGGGAAGCATCGAGAAGGGTGAGAAGGACCAGCAAGGAGGAGGCCACCTTTTTGTGCTTAGCTAAGAGGTTGCATCTCCTTCTGCCAGCAAAAGAGCCTGAAAAAATCACGTCATGCTGTTATTATTATCCTTTGGGGAGAGAGTATGGGATGCCCAGGAGAGAAGAGGACTCAATGGCAGGAAACTCTCCTGCAAGCCATTGATGAATCCATAAGGGCAGGGTTCAGGGTGGACGGGAAGGGAACAAAGGCATTGATGAGCCTCTGCAAAGTTCCATTCAGGGCAGCTGACAAAGCTCTATTCTCAGCTTTTGCTGTGTTCTGCATCCAGCAACTCTGAGGGTTTTTTTTATTATTATAAATGCATACTCTATTATACCATATTTCAGCTCAGAATCATTGCTATGGCATCAACATCACATCTGGTTTTAAGCACAATTTCTTGGTTTTGGAACACCTATAGGAGTGTTCATGGGCTCCTCCTTGCTCTGTGCTCAGTCATCACTCTTGACAATGCCCGGGGAACAAGGAGGTGCTAGAGGTGGAATCCAGCAGGCAAAGCATGTGCTCAAGCCCTTGAACTATTTCCACAGACCTCAACAAAATTAAAAAGTAAATTCACGAGTTGCAGCAATAGTACGTCGGGTAGAGCACTTGCCTTGCATGTGGCTGACCCAGGTTTGATCCCTAGCACCCTATATGGTCCCCTGAGCCCCGCCAGAGGTGACCCCTGAGTGCAGAGGCATATATAAACCCTGAGCACTGCTGGGTGAAACCCCATAACAAAATAAAATTCATATAATATCCGCATCATTTCTTTGCAAAAAATCTAGCATAAAATCTTTGCTGATCACATGGTGAAATATGGTATTTTATATAAAATGTTTGGTTATTATATAATGTGCAAAACATATCGGGAACCCAGTCTTAAGTTGACATATTGTGTAATTGTTTATATCGCACAGATGATTGATAGATGATAGAGGAATGAATGGATGATGGACCGATGATAGATGTTGGATGGATGGATGGATGGATGGAGAGAAGAGTGAAGAGACAGACGATGGATAGACTTATAGATGGACATAGACACTGAATGGATAGTTAGATGATGGATGAATAGATATACGGACAGACAGATGATAATGGCTAGAGAGATGGGTATTAGGTGGATGATGAGAGATGTGATGGACTGAGAGATAATGCACAGAGAATAGTCATGAATACAAGGATGGATGGACAATGGGTGAATACATGGATGGATGAACAGATGAATAGGTGTATGGATGAATGGATAGATGAATGGATAGAAGATGGATGAATGGACGGATGAATGGATGGATGGAAGATGGGTGGATGGATGACTGGGTGGGTGAGTGGATGGATGGATAGAAGGATGGATGGATGACAGCTAAATGGAGGATGGGTAGGAAGATGGATGGATGGGTGATTGTGTGGATGGATAGATGGCTGGTGGGTGAGTGGATAGATGGGTGGGGATGGCTGGGTGGATAGATGGGTGGATGAAATGGTAGGTAGACAGATAATGAGGGGTGTGTGTGGATGGGCAGATGGGTCAGTGGGTGGATGGACAGAACTTTTGGAGATGAGGCAGACATAGGGTCGGTCATAACCTCTCTCTGGCTGGGGAAGAACGGAAGTGCAGCCCAGCAGGGTTTGGGCTGGACACGGCTGCATGCCTCTGGCTGTGGTTTGACCTCCGAGCTCAGCTCTCCAGTCTCCAGCAGAGATCAAGGATGATTCAGCGCTGAAGCCTGGGGCTGAGGGAACAGCAGGCCTCTGCCAGGGATGGGGAAATCTCCAGGCGCAGGCAGTTTGGAGATCTAGATAAAGAAATCAGGGCAAAACATATCCTTCTCCGCATTTCAAATAGAAGGGGCCTATTTGGGGGAGCGATAGTACAACCTCCCAAATAATGTTCAGGGATCCTGGGGGCTACTCAGGTGATACTCAGTCAACTGAGTCAGATGGCTAAATGGTCCCCTCAGAGGCGCAGTGCTGTTTGGGGGCTCCTGGAGTCCCCTGGGGCAATCAGGGGCCAGGCAGAGCTGGGGATTAAACGCAGGTCCTGGTGCATGCCAGGCACGTGCTTTTGTACGGAGCTATCACTGGGTCTTGGGATACTTTAGAGAAGACCGAGAGGAGCCCTTGTTCACCTATCCACTGCACTGTGGCCACTCCCCTTTAAAAGCAACCCCCCCAACCTGGAGTCACCCCCCCCCCCCAGTCCTCTCTCCCTCAGTCAAGCTGCTAGAAGTTGTCCTCCAAGAGTGCCCACAAGGAAAGGGGAGAGAGAGGTGGGGAGAGAGAAAAAAAGAGAGGGGAGAGAGAGAGGAGAGAGATGAGAGAGAGGAGAGAACGAGAGGAGAAAGAGAGAGGAGAGAGAGGAGAGAGGGGAGAGAGAGAGAGGAGGAGGAAGAAGAGGAGGAGGAGGAGGAGGAGGAGGAGAAGGAGGAGGAGGAGGAGGAGGAGAAGGAGGAGGAGGAGGAGGAGGAGGAGAGAAGAAAAAGCCAGAGAAGAAGGAGATGAGGAGGAGGAGGAGGAGGAGAAGGAGGAGGAGGAGGAGGAGGAGGAGAGTGCCTGCCGTAGAGCCAGAGAGATAGGCTGGGGTTGGTGGTGGGAGGGAAACTAGGGGCATTAGTGCTGGGAAATGGACCCTGGAGGAGGGATGGGTGTTGGGAACACTTTATGACTGAAATCTGATCATAAAGAGCTTTGTAACTGTGTCTCTCACAATGACTCAATTAAAAAACAAACAAATAAAAAAGATGGGGCTGGAGTGATAGTACAGGTGGGAGGGCATTTGCTTGCACGTGGCCAACCCAGCATCCCTTATGGTCCCCCGAGCACTGCCAGGAGTAATTCCTGAGTGCAGAGCCAGGAGTAACCCCTGTGTATAGCCGGGTGTGACCCAAAAAGCAAAAAGCAAAAAAAAAAAGTAAGTGACATTAAAAAAAAAAAGAAGAGATCTTCCATGGCCCTGCTGTACTGTCTCCCATCCTCACCGTGCCTCTGCCGCCCCCATGTCCCAATGTCCTTCCCTTCCCGCTCACCCCCAGATTCTCTTTTGTCCCCTCCCAGGAGCACAGCAGGCTGGAGCTCTTGTTATGCTTCGGAGCTTGGGGTACCCGAACACTCTTGTTGCGGGGTTCCTTCCCCACCCTGGCTGCCTGCTCAGATGGTTCCCCTCAACCCCGAGAACTCCCCCTGCAGCTGCCTCTCCCCATCCCCCCGCCCCCCCCCCCCCCCCCC